CTCTTATAATGTGGGGTGTGCAACGTCTGCTCAAGAAAACAGACACATGGATGACGGGACAAGGAAAGGAAAATACCAGTTCTCATTTGAGACACAAATAACCAGGCTGGACAATGATGACGACGTTATCCATTCAGTTGCGTCTGACTCTCTGCGATTCCATGGGCCAGGTCTCTCCACATCTTCCGATCTTGAACTATTTGAGTTTTTCTATGCTCTGGCTGTTGTTAGCTTTGATGGTGTCCAGTCCCTGTGTTCTTTGGTGGCCTGGCTTCTTTTTACCGCTATCTCTTACAAACATAATTAGACCTAGCTCTCTGGACATGGCTGTAATGTTGAGAAAGGTGGAAGAAAAGAGAATGACTAACAACAAGGCGGAGGAACTTAAACTGGTGATGGGTGCATCTTGGGAAGATCTGAAGGATCAGGCTAGGAGCAGATGGCCATGGAGAAAAATCTATCCATAATCAATCAATGACACTGTCACATTCTGAAATTTCCCACTGTGCGCTATCCTCCACTGGATGCCATTTAGGGAAACAGGAAGGGTTGAATTGGGTTGGTTCAGACTAAAAGCCATCCAATTTAACATTTGATTGGCACAGTGAGCTATGAGACTTTATGGAGGAGGATACAAGCAGCAGACTTCACCTTACATCATGCAAGGTGGGAATTGCACATTACATCATTCAGATCTGCTTCTCCATTTGAGATCTCTTTGCTTCCCCCCCCCCAAACAATTGGATCACGGGGCGAATCAAAGTTCTTATCTGAAGCACAAATGACCCAGCTCCAATTACCATATTTTGGACACATGGCACAAAGACACAGATTCCTTGAGACATCAATATAGTATGTTGGGAAAGATGGAAGAGAAGATGACTGACCAGCAGCTAGGTGGATGGACTCATTTACAGTGATGATGGATACACCATTGGAAGATCTACAGGGCCAGGTTAGGGATAGATTATGCTGGAGAAGTTCTATCCATGTGGTTGCTAAGGGTAATACTGACTTGATGGTATCAGCCCATTTACAGCTGAATTTGGTACTTGGTTGTTTTCTTGCAGATGTTTCATTACTCAAACTAAGCAACATCATCAGTGCTAGTGCCTTGATGCTACTCCACCAATACTTACAGGCTTCCCAGTTCCAGAACACAGCTTGTTTTCTAGAAAAAATGTACCTAGAGCAGAGAAACAGGAACTGCCAACTCCCTATCTTGAAAAGTCCAAAGGTTCAAACTATACATCTCTTTTCCTTACCTGGACACACCAGTGAACTGTGGATTAGTTATTTCCCAGTGGGGAGGGCAGTTGGTATTTGTGCTAGAGGGTCAAAATCTGAAAGGGATGGGTGTGCTGTTGTGATCCATACTTTGCCTTTTTAATATAACATGAAGGCACTTTCTGGAAGGAAACTTGGATGCAAGGCTACACTTGCAGTCTTGTGTGCTGTTATTGTAATGGTCCTGCCTGTTCTGACAAACATACGATTTTCTTCCATACATTTAAGTTTGCTTAATTTAAGATCTCAACCAACAAACCAGGTTGTAATTAATTATAAACCAGGTTGTAATTAATAAAATTTTCTATTCTTAATGTTCAGATCCCAACTATTGGAAACCTTCATGCATAAAATATGCGAGGCTGCATAAAATTCACTAAGTAGGAATAGAATCAGAATAACTCATTGAGTTACCTAATGGGCTAATCATTGTTCAAGCATACTTTACAAAGCACAGTTCATACAACTAGCATAGTCAAAATCAAATCACTTTAGGGCTTAACATACGTGAATCTCATTGTTCTACTTCATGCTTGCTATTTCTTATACCCAACAACTGAAGTATTTATTTTTCCTCCTAATGACAATACATTGATGTGAACAGGAATCCAGGCCCCACCCCTTTGTACATGCATTGGATGTGACTATGTTGCTGTATCTACCATGTTTATTCCCTCTGGAGATAATCCTTGCTGTATGTTAAGTTTAACTAAGGGCAAATAGAGGAAACTTCAAAAATTAAGCTTAAAAAATAAATGACAGAATCTGTTGTTCTACAGTAAAACTGAATTGTATCATCTACACATATAGTTTCTAATCCCTCTTATGCTTCTGTAATTCCCCTAGAGTTAACACACCTCTATCTTATGTCCCATATCTAATTTAGGCTTCAAGTGTTTTTCTTAAATATCTTCGAAGGAAAAGATTTTAAAGTGGTCTACTGTGGATGTTTAAATTCCTGTTTGGATACTAGAAAGAGAGAAAAAGAATTGGATGGTCACCTCTAAACCGAGGTGAATGAATGAATCAATAAAATCCATTACAAGGGTTGGAGTTATGACAATTTATTTATTTATTTCACGAAAACGAAGTGTTGGAAAGCACATCCTGGAAAATTTTGCACGTAATGATGCTAGTAATGGAACTATAGTGGTGGAGGTTTGCTTAAATCCCAGATCAGATGCAGATTTTGCATATGAATAAATATGAAAAAATAGTTATGAAGGAAAAGAATATAATACCAGCCAAAGACTCCAAATTCTAGTCCTGCCTTCTTAGGGACAGAAGCAAGCTGGGTGTATCTCAGGAAGGAAGCAATGGCAAACCACTTCTGAAAATGTTGGCAAAATTGCAAGAACTTGTTCAAGTGAGGACTGTTTAAAAGTCACAAAACAAACGAACAATAGGTTTTTCTACTGTAGGAGCCCGAATGAGGTCTGCAGCATCATGAGGTCATAACTCTTTTTAACACAATTTTTGGTATTTTCTGGAATAAGGTCATTTATTTGACAATCTTTCCTCCTACCTGCCAACTTGGGTTGTGGCGGCTTAAAACCCCTGTGCCAACCCAGGGCATTTTGTTACTTTATGTATCAATGCTTGAAGTATGTTAACGTAGGTATCAAATTACACAGGCGATCTGCCTTAATATGTCAGCTGGTTCTCTTCCAAGATAATGTTCTAATGTTTTATATCTGTAGCTACACTAAGAAATGTGCAGACATCAGGGAGAAAACTTTCAATGCCACAGCTTGGGTGCGTTGAGGTTTTGAAAAAAAGATTTGACAACCATTTCTCCAGGATGGTAAAAAATCTCCTGTGGTATGCAGGGGGTTAGTCTAGAAGACCCCCCAGGTCCCTCCCAGCCTTATGATTCTATGTTTTATTTATAATCCAAGGATGCACTTAATTTATTATCTTTCTGCCTGGGCTCTTGTCTCAGTCATCCCAAAGTGGAGAGGTTTGGATGGACGGAGCTTTTTAACGCCAGAGATCGGTCCTTATATGCACGGCCACATCTGTGCCCAGCTCTCTCCCCCAAAGTCCTTCTCCACTGCATGCAAATCCCATTCAAGTCCACAACTGTAGCACAGGTAGTCCTTGACTTACAACCATAACTGAACGCCAAATTTCCAATTCTTGTTGAGTTTTGCCCCGTTTTACAACCTTTCTCCTACTAACTTATCAATCATTGCAGTTGATAAGTTAGTAGTACGGTCATTAAAGGAATCTGCCTTCCCCATTGACTCTGCTTGTCAGGTCGCAAAAAGGGATCATTTGACCCTGGGACGCTGCAACTGTCATAAATACGAGTCAGTTTCCAAGCATCCGGATTTTGATCACGTGACCATGGAGATGCTGCAACAGTCTTCAGTGCGAGAAACGGATCTAAGTCGCTTTTTTCAGTGGTGTTGTAACTTTGAACGGTCACTAAACGTACTGTTGTGAGTTGAGGACCGCCTGTATTTCTGACGGTGGGAGCCTCTTGGGTGTCACACAATCACCAACCGCAAACTTTCCCGGCGTCTCCTGCAAGCAACCGTCAACGGAAGCTGGCTCTGCTTCAGAACTTGGACGATCTGCTTAGCAACGGAGGCGATTCAGTTAACAACCGAGCCAAACAGGTCAGGCCAGGTGCGATTCAACCATCGCATCCCTCAGCGACAGCCGTGCCAGGCCCTAACTGTGGTCGCTAAACGAACGGTTGCAAGTCGAGGACTACCTGAATCTCAAGAAGCTTCCCGTGGACCATTGCAAAGAGGCACTGCACGCACCACCCACCCACACCAGACTCTCAACAAGCCCCCACCCATCTGCCTCCCCAACCAGACCACGTCCACACGTCTAATTAGTCGCGTGTCGTCCAAGTCTTTCACCCCCATCACTTCCTGGCCCCCAGCCTCGCCTAACCGGCGGACGGACTGACCATCCTCCTCCTCCTCCTCCTCGCGGGGTACCCGAAAGTCCCCCCCCCTTCCCACGTACTCCCGAAAAAACTCGGGACAACCCAGGCGAGCCGTCGGGGCCGGTCCGGCGGGGCTGACCTCCGAGCTGGGGAGGGCGGCCAGCGGGGGCGCGCCTTCCTCGGGGGCGCGGAGGAGGCACCCACTCCCTCCATCCCTCCGGGGGCGAGGGAGGGGGGGAGGAGGAGGAGGAGAGCGCGCGCTCCCCGCTTTCCCGCCTTCCCCCGGCTCCTTCGAGGAGACCCTCCCGGGCTGGTTTGGCACCCCGAGAACCGAACTCCTCCTGCCCGGCTCCAGGATCCCCGTTGCCGCTGCCGCCCCCCCCCCCAACCGGGCCCCTTCGAGCAAGGCTTCGCCTCCTCAGTGAGTCTCCCAGGGGAGGGGAGGGGGGGGCTGCGCGCGCGCCCCCGGCTCCTCTCCGCTGAGGCGCGGAGGGGGAGCGGGCGTGTGGATGGAAGAGCCGCCGCTGCTGCGCGTGGCTCCTTTGTGCGGCGCACCTGGCCCGCGCCGGCTCCTGCCTGCCATTGGAGGGGGGCGGAGCCGAGGGGAGGGGAGGGGCGTGGAGGCGCGCTTTCGGCCCCCTCCCGCCGCCGCCGCCGCCGCCTCCCCTCCCTTCTCGGTAGCTTCCTCCTTTTTCTCCCTCCCCCTAGAGCGTCCCTCACCTGTCCCTTCCGGCTCACCTGCCGCTCTCCCCTTCCCCCTCCCTCCGCCTCTCTATCGTCCCGCCCCCTCCCCGCCCGCCCGCCCGCCTCCGCCGCTCCGCAGAGCCCGGCAACTTGCTCCGCGGAGTGCGGGTCTCCCTCCGGGGTTGTGTGTGTGTGTGTTTGTGTGTGCGCTGCTGCTGCTGCTGCTGCTGCTGCTGCGCGCGCGCGCGGGTGGTGTTTTCCTGGGTCTGCCGGAGAGGAAGGGGGAAGCCCTTTGGAAGGTGGATCTAGTCCAGGCTTCTGCAGAACTTCGCCCCTTTGGACCGAGCAGGTCTCCGACTCTCCCTCCCCCCCCCGCCCCGCAGCCCGCTCCTCCTCCAGCCGCGTCGCCCCTCGGGCTGCTGCCCCCAACCCCGCCCTGCCCGCCCTGCCGCCCCCCAAGCTCAGCCCTGCAAAATGGATGTACGGTTTTATCCCGCTGCCTCGGGGGGCTCCCTTCCCGGAGACCCTTCCAGCCTGGACTTTACCCAGTGTTTGGGTTACTACAGCTACAACAAGGTGACTGTTTTATAGTATTCCTCTCCTCTTTCTTTTTCTCTCTCTTTCGCTCTCCTTCCCTCTCTCTCTCCTTCTCCCTCGTTCTCCTTCTCTCTCTCCCTCCCTCTCTCTCTTTCTCCCTCTCTTTCTCTTCCTCTCTCTCTCCCTCCCTCCCCCTTTCTTTCTCCCTCTCTTTCTCTTCTTCTCTCTCCCCCTCCCTTTCTCCCTCTTTCTTCTCTCTCCCTCTCTTTTCCCCCTCTCTCTCCTCTCTTTCTCGCTCCCTCCCCCTCTCTCTTTCTCCCTCTCTTTCTCTTCTTCTCTCTCCCCCTCCCTTTCTCTTCCTTTCTCCCTCTCTCTCCCCCCGTCTCTTTCCCACTCTCTTTCTCCTTCTCTTTCTCCCTCCCTCCCTCCCTCTCTCTTTCTCCCTCTCTTTCTTTTCTTCTCTCTCCCCCTCCCTTTCTCTCCCTTTCTCCCTCTCTCTCCCCCGTCTCTTTCCCACTCTCTTTCTCCTTCTCTTTCTCGCTCCCTCCCCCTCTCTCTTTCTCCCTCTCTTTCTCTTCTCTCTCTCCCTCCCTCCCCCTCTCTCTTTCTCCCTCTCTTTCTTTTCTTCTCTCTCCCCCTCCCTTTCTCTCCCTTTCTCCCTCTCTCTCCCCCGTCTCTTTCCCACTCTCTTTCTCCTTCTCTTTCTCGCTCCCTCCCCCTCTCTCTTTCTCCCTCTTTCTCTTCTCTCTCTCCCTCCCTCCCCCTCTCTCTTTCTCCCTCTCTTTCTCTTCTTCTCTCTCCCCCTCCCTCTCTTCCTTTCTCCCTCTCTCTCTCCCCGTCTCTTTCCCACTCTCTTTCTCCTTCTCTTTCTCCCTCCCTCCCTCCCTCTTTCTCCCTCTCTTTCTTTTCTTCTCTCTCCCCCTCCCTTTCTCTCCCTTTCTCCCTCTCTTTCTCTCTTCTTCTCTCTCCCCCCTCTCTTTCCCAGTCTCTCTCCTCTGTCCTCCTTCTCCCACTGTCTTCTCTCTATTTTTCTTTCTCTCCCCCCTCCCCATCCCTCCGACTTAATCTTTTGTTGGGGGGGGTTGCGTAGTGTAGTTGTGTTATAGTTCTTGGCTTGGCGTTGGACGCTGCTGTGGTTTTTGCCATAGTTTGGTTTGGCTTCTGGAGAGGGGGGTGGCTCTCATTGGGTTGTAGCTCGAGAGGGTGGGGAAGATGGTCTCGATCTCACAACTTTGGCCGCATCGCTGGTTTTAAAACTAGTTTTTTTGGTTTTTTTTTTAAATCAGAACTTTCCCAAGTTTCTTTTTTCTTTTTTCCCTCGACAGAACTTTCCCCCTCCCATCCTTTCTCGGTGATTCGCAAATCATCCTTGGTTGTTGTTGTTTGTTGTTTCCTATTTCCCATTTCCCTTTTGCAAATACAATCCCTTGTAACTTCCTCTGAGCTCGATGGAAACAAGTCACAGTTTTCATTTAGTGCTCACAAAGTCTGCCCCTTGCAGGGATGTGGTGGTTTCAGTGGTCGTGGGGGTCCTGCTGGTGAAGAAAATAGCCTCAGGCATGCGGTATCCAAGTCAAAAAAGAATGCATTTTTAAAGATGTGTTTTTCTGCCTTTGGGGGCAAAACTCTGGAACAATTAGCAGTTTTGCTGGTTCTGCTGAAACTACTTTGGGCACAGGAGTTTGGGAGGCAGCTGCTGGGCGTGCTTTTTATTTGGTGGTTTGATTTGTACGGAGATCAGACTTGTGCGTGCGCGTGTGTGTTAAGGTTGGGTATTTAGATGGCATTACAATTGTATGGATTACTAATGGTTGTGTGTTGTAGCCTGCCATTTCTCTGCCCCTGTTCTCACAATAGTCCCACTCCTTTTTTCACATTCCTCCACATTTCTTCCTGGTTCGGGATGTTAAAGCAAGGATATGATTCTATCAGCCGAGCATGTTTATGGGAAACTTGATGGGAGTAATTGAATCTTGCATCTCAAATAAAGGCATGAGGGCAAGCCAGGGAAACTGGGGACCATCCTGAATTGAGAAGGAGAAAGAGGTAGCTACCAGATCCTTCGGCTCCTGTCTTCATCAAGAGAAGGAACCCCTTTGACTCCCTTGGCCAGTTGGAGAAGTTGTAGCACTGCTTAGTCCTCTGTCTTATTTATATCTCCCTTTCTTGTCAAGAGATTACAGATGACAGAATACATGTAATAGCCAGAAGGGACGAATATCCCCTGCGGCTAAATGCATTACACAAAATATGTTTCAACCGTATCTGGTTTGTTTTCACCAGCTGCCAGACAAGAAAAGAAAATTTCAAACTTAAAGAGGTACACTGTGACTCATGTTACTTGGTAAAGGACTTCGCTATTTGCACTCGGCTGTGTCAATAGCACATCAACTTAGCCTTCCTACGCGTACATAAAGATCCCTTTCACAGCGAACTCATCCCCTTTGGCTCTGTTTGTGCAATCTGGGGGGGGGGGAGGCCCTCGTGAGATGCTGCGTAAGATACTGAGAAATTACAGTGCCTTGCAAAAGGCTTAACTGATGTCTGGGTTTGTTGTTAGTGTCACTTGACAAAGTTTGGGAAAATGGAAAGCCAGCAGGGAAGGAAAAGATTATTTTTAAAATGTCGGGAAGTGTTTTCAAAAAGTTTTTCTCTGGACCCATTTAATCCTTCGTGGATGGGTTGTTTTTTTTTTTTTCATTAAGAGAGCTCTAATTTCAGATAGGTGTGGTGGGAAGAAATATCTTCAGTATCTTTCTGGGGAGTGACTGGCTTGAGAATCTATATATATATTTATAAATGGAATTAGAGTGACATCTTATTTCGTATCTTTAATAAATGCAGTGTGAGCCAAATGCAGTGTGTGTGTGTGTGTGTGTGTGTGTGTGTGTGCGCGCACACGTGCCTTTTCACCAAGCAATCTTGGAACAGCTTTTGAACAAAGCGTTATGTGTATATTCTCCTTGGCAAATGCAACATGGAAAATATCACCCTGCTGCTGTGTTGATGATATGAAAAGAAAGGGGAGACATTGTTACAAATTAGAGGCTGCAGAACCACACTTGAGTTTTGAAGGGTTTTAATAAGCTCTAGACAACTCTACGCTGCTGTTCGGTGGTCAACAAATGTATAATGCTGCAAATTAGTTGAGCATGAATTCTCTCTGCTGTTTGCATTAATTCAAGAACTCAAGTTTCTGTTATGTATTGCTTTTTGTCTGGATGCCTCTTATAGGGGATAAAACAATACTGCAGTTTTTTTTGTTATTGTTTGTTTGGCAACTTTAATGTGGGTACAGTTCCTAAATCAGATGCTTGTGGGGAAGAACCAGTTGTAATCACATTTAAAAATAATCCATCTCCCATTTGATCGGCTAGAGCTGTTAACTCCTGTACTTTTTTTTTTTGTGCTTAATGAAGAATATTATTTGGACGGGTTTTCTGTTGAAAGATGAAAAGGACTGTTGAAACTGACAGGATAAGAACTTGTTTCCAAATAGTGAATTATCCTCACAGCTAGAACAAGTATAGTTATCTGTGTGATTACTTGTAGAGTAACATGCCTGAAGACTGTGATTATAGACTTCAAACTTCATTTATGCAATTTCAAACCACTGTTAGCAAAAGATTGGTTAGATCTATCCATCCACTCATCCACCCATCTATTCTAATCTTTACATACAGGTTGTAAACTCAAGTTCAACAATACTTAACAGAAATAGGTAGGCAGAGCGAATTCGTGAGTGCTTTTCTTGAATCAGTGCCTAATGCTATGTAAGTATGTGTTGCGTGGTGTATAAATTGGCTAGCCTGGATTGGTATACCTGATGTTCTCTTGTAGCACAATGGCCAGGAATGCATAATACATAATTGGTGTTACATGACTAATTGTTGCTCATAGAATATAGCATTTAGTCAATTCAGAATATCATGAATTCAGTGGGTTTATATGGAGCGAATGGCTGGAGGTTATATAATTGCCTCTTTTGTCATAAGCAATAGAATTGCACCAAGCCATCATTTGAGGAAGATATCCTGGCATGATTGAGGGATAAGGCTAAATCCATGGTTTGCAAAACATTGTGGCTGGATTTCAACCCAAGTCACAAAGGTGCCGTAGATGACATCCAATCAGCCACCATTCTGATTTAGTGTGACAATATGACATCCATCTTTTATGTTCACCTCTGCAGCATTCATACTAGAAGCATAAATTATAGTTTTGATAGGTGGATAGGCATTTGCCCAAGATGCCACACCACTTGTGAGAAGAGAAAATGGTGCCCTCTTTTGCTCTTTCTGCTGCTTCATTTTCTTCTTCTTGTGGATATGGCAGTAAATGCAGTAGCCAGGTTCATAAATCCCTTTGGCCAAGGTTTGTGAAACCATGGATTATGGAATGAAAGGCAGTGGATGGTTCCATTGGGATTATCCTAGAGCAGGGGTAGGCAACCTTGGCTCTTTTATGACTTGTGGACTTCAACTCCCAGAATACCTGAGCCAGCATGGCTCAGCTTGAAAACATCTCCTTTTCCCCTCAGCATGGCTCGCTCAGGAATTCTGGGAGTTGAAGTCCATGAGTCATAAAAGAACCAAGGTTGCCTACCCCTGTCCTAGAGAGCTTTTCTGAAGACCTTTTGGCTACTTTCCTGTGGTAGCCAATACTGAATCCATGAGGGCTTGGGTTCTAAACGAGCAAGCTTCCTGAGGAAATGGAGATGCACAGTACGTAGGGAGACAAAATGAAACACAACAATGATGGCTTGAGAAGATGGAGAGGTTGAATGGTAGTTCAACAGCAGAAATGCGGTTGGAGACCATCAACAATCAACAGTGGGCTTCTGGGACCCAACAAGGGCCCCTGTTATGTTTGTTTATTTCATTTGTTTACTTATTTATTTATTAAATGTATAGGCCTCCATCTTACCCCAAGTTCCATCACTTCCAGGATTCATGCTGTTCCTCCTTGCTGGGAAATCCTTGTGAAACCAGTAGCTGGAATGTGTAGATTTAGCTGTGACAAAGTCTTGTTGCCTGGGG